GGGGCAGTCTCAGCACTGGGATCAGCCTGAGCAAGCAAAGCCCCAAACTCTGTCCCATCCTGTCACTGTCTTGTCTCTGTGTGTCCCAGCCCCATCCCCAGAGGTAGGCTCCCCTGTCCTCGTGCTGGCGCCCTCCCCTGCCTCCCCATGTGCATGCTGCACCCACTCCTGCCAGCACCCTCCTCCCTGTGCACTCCACCTTCCCTCCCTCAGCCTGGGAGGGAAGGTGCTGCCTGCACATGCCTGCCTGTGCCTGCAGAGCAGCCCCCTCCCAGCATCCCTGCCCTCTTCTGGAGTAGCCAAGTGTCCCCCTGCATGTCCCTGGTTTTCCAGCAAAGGGTGAGAGATGCTGCCCTGCCCATGCAGCACAGGCTTGTCCCAGCAGGTGCTGGGCATGTGTTTTTGGGAGGATAGTGCTGCCCTGCCCTGGGTCAGTAGTGCTCGGTGACAGCTGGGGTGCCCCCATGCCTATGCTTCTTCTGAAGGGGGTCTCTCTGGTTGCTTTGCAGAGGGCGTGACATCAAACACCAGTGACAGCGAGAGCAGTTCCAGTAAGTGTGCATCTTTGCTCTACCGCCCCTCTGCATGTGTGTGTGTGTCTGTATGTGCACGTTTTGGCACTTCCATCTTGTCTGGTCCTGGTGGTGGTTCTGTTCGGAGGCTGGTCCTTCTTGCTGGTGACACCAAGATGCTGTGGGCAGCTGCCTCCTTGGGGCCAAAGGGAGCAGGGGCTGGGGGGCAGGAGCAAACCTGCCTGCTTCCCTGCTCTCTCCTGGCTGCAGGGCTCTGCTTCAAGGTTGGGTCGTGGGTCCCCAGTCCATGGTGGTCCCCCATCCTTGGTGCCTGCTGTGCGAAACAGTGGCCAGAGGCCAGGTCTGTAGCATAGGTGGCTCCTGGAGTCCAAGCCTGTACAAGAGCATGGGGGTCCAGCTGCACCAAATACTCCCTTTATCCTCAGCAGGTCCTCTAAATATCTGCAGCACGTCCACAATCCACCCCACAGGAAGGATGGTGTGTCCCAATGGGCCCTGAACCCACAGCAGCAGGGAGGGAAAGAAGAGGCTTGACCCAGAGCTGGGACATGAATAATTAAGGCAGATTAAGGGCTGGTAACAGCATGCCTGCCAAGCTCCACATCAGCTGGCGGTGTGACAGGGGCAGCCTGGAGGGGTCCCCAGGGCTGTGGGAGGCTGGCACGGGCAGGAGCCAGCTCCTGGTGGGTGTGGAAGGGCTGGAAAGCTGCTAGGACCACCCACCTGCCTCTCCCTGGCTCTGTTGCAGAAGGACAAGAGGACACCATCCTGTCATATGAGCCGGTGACGCGGCAAGAAAGTAAGTCCTGCCACTGAGCTGTCCCATGCCCAGTCCAGTGTAGGCGCCTGTGTCCCTGGCACTGCCAGGGTGACTGGTGCAACCTCCTGCCTTCCTCTGCTGTACCAGCACGATGCTGGGTGAACACAAGTGGAGTTTGTTGTCTGTTGCATGCAGCAGGGGAGCCAGGCGTGCACACCGCCTTGCGGGGCTTTTCCTGGCCTTGATCACGCCTTTTTAATCAACCAAAAAGACTTGTGACCTGGTCTGCCAGACCAAGGGAGAGATCCAGGGCTAAAACTGAACTGGGCTTAAGTCCCCAGCTGAGGATGTGATTATCCCTCCCTGCCTCAGGCCAGGACCCTGCTGCAGAGCAACACATCCTGCCCTCGATCCTCAATCCCTGCAGACCCTTTCACGGGCTCAGTAGTCCCAGCCTTGGTGGTCTCCATGCCAGAAGCTGTATCAGACCCTTAGGCTCCCATCACTCCCTCAGCTCAGTGTGTCCTCGCCCAGCTGTCCCAGTTGTCTGGCTCCTGCCCTGAGCAAGGGAGCAGCTTTGCTGATCCGTGACCCCAGAGACCTGCAGCACCTTCCCCAGGGTCATGCAGATGGTTTGGGTTGGATGGGAAGGAGATGTTGACTGTGACCAGGAGAAGATAAACTCACACAGAAGAGGCACCTTTGGGAGCACATGTGAGCAGGAGCACCCGCTGCCAGCAGGGGGAAGGCAGGTTGATGCCCAAAGTGGCAGTAGGGTCAGCTGCCTGCAGCGCAGGTGGGGCCTCAGGCTGTGGCTCTTGTTCGCAGTTCACTATGCGAGACCAGTGATCATCCTGGGGCCGACAAAGGACCGAATTAATGATGACCTTATCTCTGAATTCCCACACAAGTTTGGTTCCTGCGTGCCACGTAAGTCCCAGCTGCTGCTCGGTGCCATTGCTGGAGGGAGGGGAGAGGGGTGGCTCTGCTGCTGGCAGTCTGGTCTGCAGCACGGGGAGGGGGCCAGGAGCACGGGTACGTTTTCTCCCTCCCAGGTCTGGCATGCATCACTCCGGGTTCGCTCATGATGTCCACTCTTCTCCAGACACTACCAGGCCTCGGCGCGAGAACGAGGTGGACGGACAAGACTACCACTTTGTCATATCCCGTGAACAGATGGAGAAAGACATCCAGGACAACAAGTTCATAGAGGCTGGGCAGTTCAACGACAATCTGTACGGGACCAGCATTCAGTCAGTGCGGGCAGTGGCAGAGAGGGTGAGTGTCAGGTGGCATTTCAGGGACCAGGACACATCCAGCCCAAACCCAGACTCGTTCAGCAGTTCCTCTCCTCTCCCCGTGTTGTTAACAAAGGGCTGTAACCACATTAAGCAAGCATGGCATGAGCCTCTCCTCCTTCTGGAGTCCTGCCAAGCCATGTGGCTGCTTTTGTCAGCTGTGTTACTCCGCCTCAGTGTCGCACCTCTGTCATCCAAATTCCACCCGAAAGCCTGGCACTGGTGGCACCAGCCTTGTGCTCGGGAGCTCACAGGGCAAAGGTTCCCAGCTCTGCCCTTCTTGAAGCAGTGGCATCTCCTCCACAGGAGTACTGGAGTGTACCGATGGCTTGTAAATTGTTTCACATGTTCAGAGAAGTATTCAGTCGCTTTGCAGTGCTGCTGTCCTGCCCTAAGCAGGTGGGACTGTAAGGCCACTGAGAGTTGGCTTGTGTCTCGGGACTGGTGCTTTATCTCTGTGGCTCCTCCCTTTTGTAAGCACATCTGTATGAGCAAGTTGTTTTCTGTATGGAGTAGGCTGTATGGGTAGATCTGATCCTGACTGTCTCCTTTCCAGGGGAAACACTGCATCCTGGATGTGTCTGGCAATGCTATCAAGAGGTTGCAACAAGCACAACTTTATCCCATTGCCATTTTCATCAAACCAAAATCCATTGAAGCTCTCATGTAAGTGCAACACCATGTTCTGTGCCTCTCCTGGGCAAGCACCTCTGGCATGCCGGGGGTTTGTGGGGCTGCTGCCTCTGCTTTTTAGAAAGCAGCAGAGGTTGCTGCTGGTGCTGAACTTGTCCTTTGCTAAGAGGAGCTGGACCCGTTGCTGTCTCTGTGGTGTCCTTCCATATCGAATGCCACGGTGCATCTAGGCTCCATGGATTGCTGCAGCTTAAAGCCCTTAATTCACCCCAAAGAGGCTTGTCCATGGGAAATCTCAAAATGCTTCCAAGTGTGCCTGATGTAACCTGCTCACCTGGGGCCAAGTCCAGCCAGGAGAGCTGCCAGCAGCCCATAGTGGTGGATCACAGCTGGATGGTGGCTGAGCCAGGGCAGCCCTGGAAAGCACAGAGGAGATGCCTAAGGGGGACCTTCTGCTTGTCCTGCTGCTCCTGGCCCTGGGGAGGACTGGACAAGGATATAAGAACTGAGCTTGCAAGTCTTCCAAGCACCAGCGGAGGATATTATCTTTGAGGAGATTGGGTAGCTAGAGGTGGACTCTAAGATCAGAAGAGACTCTGCTGGCACTGAGGGGACTGGGAAAACTCCTTCTGAAGCCAGGAGTCAAATTGCTTACTTGTAAGATGTTGTATGAAGATGAGGGAGCCTAGGCAAGGGGGGTGGTGACAGGCTCTGGAAAAGTAGGGAGAATTCTGCAGTGGTCTTGCAAATTTGGAGGATTGTCTGGATTTGAGTCCACTTCTGTGCTATGGTGAAAGCGGGTGGTGGTAGCGATAGGAAAAACTGTTGCAAGCTGAGATGAAGTGCCAAGGCAGCAAAGAGCCTGTGGGGAAGGGTCCTGCCTTTGAGAGCTGGGTCCTGCACAGTGTCCATTCTTCGTGTGCAGAGGCTTCCCAGACACCGTGGCTCTGTGAGCTATTTTTGCTTCTTTTCATTGCTAAGAAAAAGAGCCAACTTTATATTTTTTGTATACGGCAGGGAGATGAACAGGAGACAGACGTATGAACAGGCCAACAAGGTCTTTGACAAAGCCATGAAACTCGAGCAAGAGTTTGGAGAGTATTTTACAGGTGAGTGTCCTGAGCAGGCTTGTATCTGATTTATTTTATTCTTCCAGCTGGCAGCTGTGTCCTCTCTACCAAGCACTGTCTTACTTCAGGGTCATGGGAAAATGCACAGCTTCATCAAAGCAAAAAAGAAATGGCACATTGCCAGCAGGGCTCTGCAAAGGAACTGCTCCAAGATCAGTGGATAAGAGTAAACCAGCTCTAGAGAAGGAGACAAGTTGTCAGGCAGGATTTTCCAAGTTTGTGAAAGCTTATCACTAACTTTAATAATAAAAGAAGAAAAAAAACCCAGGCAGGGGAGGCACAGCATAGATTCAGGGTGCTACAAGGCTGCAGGAAACAGAACTCCCTGCACAGGGGAAAGGGGAGTGTTTTCAGAAAGAGAAGGGAGTAATTTTAAAGAGGAAAGATTAAAAATTAGTGGCCTAAATGGTCGAGACTATCCCAAGTTATTACAAAACATCTCCCCCAAAAAGACTGGAAGTTTAGCTGGCTTCCTAAGTAGTCTTTGCTGAAGAGCTGGTCAGGGGCTGCCTGGCCCTTTGCGCCTGCAGAGGTGAGCTGCTCAAGACACAGGCATCCTTGTGAATTAAGGCATGTTTGTAACATGATTAGTTGCGGAAGATCATGGGCAGGTGAAGAGACAAAGAAACTGGTCTTCCATCTTTCCTCCGGTGCAGTAACTGGATGGTGAGTTTGAGGTTGACCGGGGAAGGAATGCTCTTTGTTGAAACCCATTGTTGAAAGAAGTGGGTAATGGGCAGAGGGATGGTCACTGTACCAAGTTCTGTGCCAGGAACTTATGAGGAAACAGATGCTGGAGGATGGTCCTGGCTGGGTTACAGAGGCAGGCTGAATTACCAGAAAGCTTTGGTCCTCGATGTGCATCTTCCTCTTCTGATGCAGGAAGCACAGTGAAGTGCTTCATGTTGTGTCTCTAGTAAGCAGCAAGACTGATCTTTGGGCGAGAGTTACTGCTGGAAGCGACAGCCATAAGCTGGCCTTTTCTAGGCTGACAGTGCTGCGATTCCCACCCAGCAGCAGAAGAAGCAACAAACACGAGGAGCCCTCAGCAGCCAACCAGAGGGGATGGACAAATCCGGCACCCCGGGTTATGCGCTCAGCGCACACCAGCTAATCTGCATGAGGCTCTCCTGTTCACCATGCTGGAGTAGCTGCAGGGCTGGGGCCAGCTGCCGCAGCCTCAGTGAGGTGGTGTGACACAATTTGCAAAGCTGATTAGCAGCCCATTGTGGAGAACCTGGCCAGCACTTCACATGCGCGAGGAGCTCTGCCAGCATGGGATCAGCTCTGGCTAATCCCCTGGGACACGCTGGGTTAACCTTCTGTGTCATCGTGCGCCTGTTACAGCTCCTTTGACATGGGTTGTCTGGTTCATTAATTGTTGGCTGGGCCACACCGGCCCGTGTAACACAGAGTGAAGGCCTTTCCTGCAGCTTGTGGTGGGGAAGGTGCAGCTGCTGCCCGATGCTCAAGGTCTTGCTTGTTCTCTTCCAGCCATTGTACAAGGAGACTCTCTTGAAGAGATTTACAGCAAAATCAAACAGATCATTGAGGACCAGTCCGGGCACTACATCTGGGTCCCGTCCCCAGAGAAACTCTGAAGATGTCCCCCCACCTGCTTCCCTGTGAGCAGAAGATCTCCGAAGTCCCATCCCACCCAAGCCCTCTGCCCTAAGGTGGGGGGGATATGAAAACTATTCCTGCCCCCTTTTTTAGATCGTTGCAAAATTGAGTTTTCTAGTCCTGTTTCTTTTGTTGGGATGAACTCATCTCATTCATCATGTGACTGTGCCCACCGTTCCTGCATGGACCTTCCCACTGCTCCAGTAGAGACAGGATGAGAACCCATTCAAGGTCATTTTTTTATTATTATTATTATTGTTATCATTATTATTAACTAAACCAAGAATCAAGATGGGAGGAGGCGGCTAAGGACTAACGGAAGAAACAACTGTAACAATTGACTCCGAGCACATGAGCTAGTATCAGAGCTCCAGGGACATTTTTCCAAGTGTGACTGTCTATCAGCTCTGAACAGTGCGACAGAAAGGCAGCAGAAAGC